TTTTTATAATTATTTTCAATTTCTATATTAGTAATATGTTTTATATAATATTGTGTATTAGGATTACCTATTTCAATAAATATATTCTTTTTCTTCTAGAGAGACTTTGATTTATTAATCTGTAGCTCAAAAAATGGAAACAATTTTCTATTTTCTGTGAAAAATGGTCATGTTTTATTGCTCGTTATTTAAAAAAATGATATTACTTCATCACTCTACATCTACTCGAAAGCATATATCATGACCATTTGAGAAAGACACATAATTTGGGACCAATAAGTGAACAACTGAAGAAAGTACCGATATTTTCCAATAATATATCAAAAAACAATAGGAAATTTAAAACAGTATTTTGCCATTTTCATGAAAATTATTCTTTCTAGAAAATTTATGACCGTGTGGATATAAATGCTTCTAATAAAAACTAACGTGACTTCTTCTTCCGTGTTACGAATCACACGTTATAATGTAAGACCCCGTTAGTCCTTAGCTCGCACAAGTTTCTCAACTTCTGAGAGTTGTCGTTCGTATGGAGGCGACAGCTGATTAACGGAAAAACAGATTTTAAACAGATTTGAACAGATTTATTGTCAATATTCATCAACAAAATATTGAAATAGTTCCGCTGCATCAGTAAATGGACATTTAAACTGCGGCGGTTTACATTCAAATCACTTTCTCAAAACACATTCAGTGGAGGTCTGATGTAGTCAATAAAAACTTTCCTCACTTGGTTGTAATATTTTGGATTTGCAAGCACTTCCAGAGTGTTGTTAATCATCAAATACTGAATTGGTCCTGCCTTCACTGGAGGCCATAGTACGTTTCCTAAAAGATTATCTTGTTTCGGAGTTGGGTTCCTATAACCAAATAGAAACGAATCAGCTATAAAACATTATTATGATCTGCAGAAGTAGAAATACAATTTACAAAAATTATATAGGTACCAAATAAGTGAATTGACATCATACTACGATTATCGTTACCTAAAGCAAACCTACCATAATCGATAATATTTGCAGTGCCTCAGTATAATGGCAAATAACTAAGATCAATTTGAAATCTAATTTACACATTAGCCATTTGTGATGCACTGTTTGGAACTTTGGTGTAGTAATTAATATTACTGGAGCTTTTTCCCAACACCAAACCGTTACGATGCACTGTTTGGAACCTTTGGTGTAGTAATGAATATTACTGGAGTTTTATCCCAACACAAAATCGTTATTTTTAACACATCGACACGTGTTTCGATCACCAAGTAATCATCTTCAAAGAAGAAGATTAAAACTAGAAACTAATACGAGCTAACCCTATTTATGCTATATAGGTATCCCATACAGGTAAACCATCCAGGCGTACCACCCAAACAGGTATACCAACCTGAATTGATTTTACAATTTTGCCTGATCTATTATTTTACAAATTTGTTTATATAAAACAATTTTCAGTTATATAAAAATTAATTTCACAATATTGCCTATCCAAATTTATTTTTGCAATGTGTCCTTATGTAGTAATCAGTAAACCCAACAACATTATTTTATTTTAATAAGCTATATAGTATGCTCTTTGGTATAGGTCCGTCATCGTTATTCATAGAATTATTGTGTTTACTTATTTCTACACTCTCATAGGCATCAAGTTGCCTGTTGTTGTTAACTTGTCTAACTAATCTTAATGAACTGAAGTCCATAGACTTCAATTCATACAAGTAAGTCCATAGACTTCTAATGCGAGCTAACCGTATTTATGCTATACTAGTACTATGTTGCTGTATCGCAATGTTTTGGAACAGCAGGAGATGTTGAGGTGTTAAAACAATGGTTTGGTGTTGGCAAAAAAATACAGTAATATTTATCAGCTATTAATAACTTTTAGTTGTCTGTAATAGGATAAAAAAAGATGATCCCACCAACTCTGCATTCAAATATCACAAATGATTCGAAAATTTGGTAAGGGCTATTTTTTCAATGTCGTTGTTATAATTTTGACAGTTAAGTATTCTCAAACGGTTTTGACAGTTTTAAAAGTGATAAATCCCAACTTAGTCCAGAGAATTGAGATTGTGCGTTTAGTTGGTGATAATGCTCGATCAACGAGGACGGCCACGGAAAAATTCAACAGTAGATATCCATATCGTGAACCAATTCACCATTCAACTGTCTCCAGGACCAATACGTTATTCAATAGAACCGGGAGAGTGAATGAAACACATGTACCGAGACAAAGAGGGAATATAGAGATAGATAGACGGATACATTTTTAGAATATGTTCAAGAAAACCCGAAAAATAGCTTGCGGCAGATTTCGCAAGATTTCCACGTTAGTTTATCTATAATACGTACATGTTTGAAAAAAAATGAAGTTATTTGCTTCAAACCGAAAATCATGCACACGTTAGAGAGAGGCGATGAGGAACAAAGGTTAGAATTCTGTTTATTCTGCCAAGGTGAATATTTGAATAATAATAATAACTTTCTGGGCAATATTCTCTTCACCAATGAGGCGATATTTACCACCAACGGTACAGTGTCCACTCAGAATTCCAGGTACTGGGCAAAGAAGAATCCACACTGGATGATGAATGCAAAAAGACAAAATTCACAAAAAATCTCAATGTCTGAGTAAGAACATTCAGAAACTGTATAATAGGTCCAGTGTTTTTTTAAAACATACTATACGGTGGAGGATTTTATAATGTTTTGACAACGAAATTCATGGATTTCATGAAATAACCAAGCATTGAAGAACGCAGAAATGTTATATTTCAGCTAGACGGTACCTCCGTCCATAATGTAATTGCTGTGAGGCAATATCTTGATGAAAAGGAAGATGGATTGGACGAAAGGATTGGACGAAACAGCTCTTTTATTTGATGGCCGCCTCGATCACCAGACCTGACTCCATTAGATTTTTTCTGTGAGAATATTTGAAAGAAAGTATTTATAGAAATAGACCACATAATTTGAACAAATTGAAGGAGAGGGTGAGGCAAAAGTGTAGTGAAATAACACCAGGCCAATTGAGAAGGGCCCACCAGAAATGGAGACGACGTTATGATAAAATGAATGAAGCTTGAAGGAGGATATATTGAAAACTCCAATATCAGAATAAGCTGTTTCATTTATCATTTCATAATTCATTTCCATTGTTAGTAATATTTCTAATATAGAAAACACGTTTTCAACTTTTGATTTGTTGATTTGTAAAAAACATAAAAAGTTTCATTTCTTTTTTATTCATTAAAAAGTTTTACCTTTCTACACTTGTATAAAGTTCTCCATTATAATTTTTGTATTTTTCAGATTGTGGAAGGAAAAAATACCCAAAAAAGGTCGATGAAAAACTACAAATTTATTTTAAAAATTTAGTTTTTTTATTTCCATAAGGAATGCTAAAATTGATAAAATTTAACGCTTCTGATAACTTAACAAAGATAAAACTAAAAGGTAGGTATTTATACTCCGTTGATCTATCGAGATATACTCACTGATATTTAATAAAATTGCTCCATAATTTCAACATTTTTTTCATTATCATTTGATCGGGTTTTGGATAATCTTTGGCATCTTTTATAGCCCCTTCTACTCCTCCAAAGAGATACTTCAGTTCTGAGGTATGAGCAACATTATTTGCCCCTGAAATTAGGACACACTAATTCAGAAACCAACAACAATTTAATACGCTACTGGAACCATCAAGAGAATGACGAGTATACTTCAAAACCTGATTTTATCTCCTCATTCATTTAAAGGTTATGCGCCCAGACAATCTATATATGTATATTTATGCTCATGACAGAATTATTAACCATGATGTCAGGAAGAAATGAAGAAAAGTATCGAATAGCTCTTTAGATTGTGGCACTTGGAAATTCAGAATAGAAACGAATTTGAAAAAATGTGTTGATGTGAGTGAACCCACTGAAATTCAACTAATGCAATGCGGTGTACATGGAGATTAATTTTAAAGGAAATACGATTGCGTACAATACCAGATTTTCAATCATGTACCAATAATTTGGTACATGATTGAAAAATGTGGTTGTGCTTTTGGGTCTAACTGCATATGAGATGAAGTGATTGCGTGTTCAAAGGACAATACTAGGTCGTCATAGTTGAAAGACTCTTGAGCGTCGGATCATCTCGTCAATGATTTGGATTCAATGAGAGCAGTAAAAATTTGAGAATCCAATGACAATTGGTGTTGCTAAAGCAGGTCAGAATCATGTTGGTTATTCGAGAGTTTCAGATGTTTCAAATTGACTTGAACATATTTGTATTACTAGTAATATAACTCATGTACTGAATTCCACAAAAAAATATTTGCCAATAGGTAAAGTCAAAAATACCTAATGCCAAAAATGTGGAATTCAACTGAAGTACTGTATTTGCAGATTATAAGATTGTAGAAGTGGTTTGAGAAAAACCTAGGAAAAATCTGGGAAATAATTTTTTTATGTTTTTTCTTGAATCCAAATAGGTTCAGGTTATTGAAAATTATAATTATGATGTATGATATCATTGGTAAGGTATCTGGAAGATCAGTATATTAATTATTGAAGCACACGGTAGAGAGACTGAATGGTTGAGTTGAAAAAATGGTATGGAAAAGTTGTATGACAGCTGAACGAGATAGAATGCCATATAAAAACCAGGTCATTAGATATTACTCATACTAATTCATGTGTCTTCTTCAATGTGGTATATAAAAAATATTTCTTTGATTTTTTTATGACTACTTTCATTTCTAAAGTATTCGAACTTTCCAAATCTTTCAAAAATGTTCCACGAGTACTTTTCAGAAGACAAATTTTGAAATTGAGATGTATACTAATGGAGATGTATACTAATGGAGAGGTATAAATGTCAAGAGATTTTTAGGAACTTTTGTTTTTCAAATGGGATTGCGATTGATGATACTGTGCAATACTCTCCTTAGCAAAATGATCATGCTGAAAGGTTTACCAGAACTATTTTTGAACGTGAAAGCAGCTGCCTATAGGCAGCTGCTTTCAGCTAAGCATATGCCAAGGATATGCTAAGCATATCCACATATTCAAAAACATGTTCGAAACGATAAATTTCATTGTGAAAGTTCAACATGTTTACATGTGTTACAATCCGGCAGAATACAGGCAGTGGAATTGTTAGAAATTTTTTAATGAACAGTTACTTTTTTCTAATGAAGAAAGATATAAAATCGTTTTGTGACTGATTCAGAAAATAGTGAAAGAGAAAAATTATGAAAGAGTGAGTGATAGAACACATGTATAGAGTTGGTACCCTTAGTGAGTGGAGCGAAACGATGATGTAGAAAGAATGGCTTAACCGAAGTATCTTAATTGATTGGAATATCAGATATATTGCCTGTCGAATTTATTCTTCCTAACCTTACCTGGTACATTCGTCAAAAATGATAGACCGGCAATTTCGCCTTCGTATGCAAATTCATAAAGATAGACATTCGAAAATTTTGACACCAGTTCGGCGGTACGAATTCCAGGAGTAGTAAACGATTCCTCGCTGAGATACTAGAAAACAATATTTTTCAGGTGAATAAACACTATCCTTATAATGAAAATTTTAAGGTTATTACATAACAAAATTCATTATAAAGCTTGTGTCGCCCTTACATGAGAAAATATATTATTGGAAGATGTGAAATTATTCATTGCCTGAAATTGATAATATCAATGGTTTACAGTCAATGACTGGAAATTGATTTACAAGAACTATTTTGAACCAAATATAGACACACTTCAATTTTCATTGAATAAATAAAATATTCACCTTCATAAATGCTCCAGGGTTTCTCTGAAACGTTTCTTTTGTATAAATCCTTTTATATTCCTCAGAAGCTTGTTTTAAAAATTTTGCTTTCACGTTCAATTGTGGATTTATCATCAAACTTACGTTCCGATCAAATATATTGCCCTCAGCTTCTATTTCACTGAGTGTCACTAAAACCAAAAAAATACTTTCCTTCGTTCAATAATCAAAGATGGAATATCACTGACATATAAACATAAAGGTATACAGGGCGGTTAAATTATGAACAAACCTTCGTTATTTCACAAATAATGTACTCTCTACAAAAATTCTGAAATAGGTCAATTTTTATTTTTCAAAATATTTGACAGAGACTATGAATTATGGTTTGAGATGTTCAGGAGATAATTCAGAATTGCAAGGATTTGTAGATGCCGATTGGGCTAGCAGCACTGTAGGTCGTAAGTCCTATACCGGGTATGCATTTAAACTCTGTGGTTCTGTCATCTCATGGCAAAGCATAAAGCAGAAAACAGTTATTTTATCAAGCACAGAAGCAGAATATATGTCCATATCTGAAGGAGCAAAGGAAGCTCTATACTTGGGAGGTTTGTTAACTGAATTGACTGAAAATGTATCTTGTATTACCTTATTCAATGATAATTAAGTGCTATAAGTTTATCAGTCAATCCTGTCTAGCATAACGGAAGTAAGCACATAGATTTCGCAAGGGAATTGATTTCTAATTCGATTTTGAAATTAGAATATCTACCTACAGATATTATACCTGCTGATGTTCTAACTAAAAGTTTAAGCTCTGAAAAACATCATAAACTGTTGAAACTTCTAGGCATAGTAAGTTTGTGAATTTATTTTACTGAAAAGTTGGGGTGTTGTATCAGCAAATTAAATTCTGTACATCCAACGCCATCTACGGTTTGATATTTGTAAAGTGTTTCATCTGAAATAAATCAGTCATGTGCTGACTGCTGAATAGAGCGCACATAGTTTTATTTACACTCTGCACAACAGTAACACTTTATTACTATCAAGTTGTCTATGGTCGTTTTCACCTTCAGTTCCTGGGTCAGTTCATCAAGTTGTGGTCTGCGAAATCGACTGCCTCGTATTTTCCTGCACACTCTCACAGACAGCATCAGTGTTTTCGTCAACGTACTGGTGTTGGTCGATCCTTAACTGTATCAGTGACTCAAATTTATCCACCACATTGAGAATAGTCCTCTCCGTAGAACGATTAGGTCGATTATGGCAAAGCGCTCGGAACGTTGCCCGAACAAAACACCCATTTTGATAAAACAATTATCATTTGCACGCGTTGTTCAATGCTATATTTGTCCATGGTGATTTGGCAAAACACACTCAATGAAAGAAAAATGACTTGACAGATGTAGCTCCAACACAATGTCTGTTATCAATTGTCAAAGTTCGGAAGTCCCTGTTAGAAGACCCTGTAGTAGAAATGTCTCGAGTCGGAGAAATTATGTACTTTGAAAAAGCTTTTCACTTATTTATTATCAACAAACCATGCATTGACATAACATTACAGCAATAGTTCGTAATATCATTGACAGCAATAGTTCGTAACATCATTGCCAGCAGCGAAATTGATAGTGTTACTGAAAGAAACAAATTGAAGTGTATACAAAAACAAATAATCACGACGATATGGTAGATGTGGCTGTATTTTCGAAGAAAAAAAAATAAAGGAAAGTATAAAATAAAGGGGAAAAAAATTATAGAAGAGAATAACAAGAAATAAAAAGACCAAGAGATATTGTTGAGGGAACTGTAGCAAACAAGGAAAAAACAACTTTAGTAAAACAACTGTTTAAATCTGTTTAAAATCTGGTTTTCAGTTAATCAGCTGTCGCCCCCATACGAACGACAACTCTCAGAAGTTAAGAAACTTGTGCGAGCTAAGTACTAACGAGATCTTATCTTTAAACGTGTTATTCCTAACACTGGAACAACAAAAAAATCAATATGGAAAATAACTTGGAAGTACAATAAGAAATAAGAAAAGGATGAAAAACGTTGTTGAAACAGCTGCTTCTGGAATGTATGGTTGAGAAGGATATCCTTGTCTAATAATTAAGTTACATATAACTGTGAACAGCTAAGTCATATACAAATAGACTGTTGGAAAAGACTTAGGCCTCACGTTGCCGTTGTATAGAGAAAGGTTCACCAAATGAAGAAAATGAACAGACTAATTCTAGGCTCAAGAGAAGCAATAGAAATATAATCGATTCAAAGGAAAACGTAATATTGCCAATATCTGATAAAAGACAAAGGTTGCCATCGCTCAAAAATGGGCATGAGTCACTAACACCAACGCCAGAGAAATGATAATACCTGTAAATGATGAATGGATAGCAAGAAGTATGCGTGATGCATTATTTGAGGTTTCGATTGGATTCTGCCAACGATTTATTCCAGAGCCTTTAATCACGAATCAAGAAGAAATAGGAAAATTGTATAGTACTTCGAAGCTAACTCAACAGCAAAGTTCAACATGATTGGAATCGAGTCTCCAAGAATTGTGCAATTGCATCGCAAGTGCACCAGCTAGCTATACCAACAGCATGTGTCCGAGATCAGCTCGACCGACTCTATGGGAGCTGAGCAGGTGAACATCTCGACATCACCAAGACTTGGTACTAGATCGATAACTGGATCAACTGTCGCCGTGATATGGAAAATTGATGCAAGAAGTATGACCTTTGTCCTTCGAAGAAAAGCCTCTTACGAGTTGGCATGATTACCAAGGAACAAAAAGTCCTCGAATTCATTATAAAATGCAAGGCTACGGGTTGCCAGCGATCAGATGAAGAAAAGTCTAATGAGAAAAGTTCGTCCCTATTTCGAGATGACAATAGTATCCAAAAAAGCCATTGGATATCTATAGAAAAACTTTCCTCTACAAAAATATGATTCAAATTGAGCAAACATGTAAGCTGAAATGGAAGCTGTAAGCAGTAAAAAGGGAGCTATAAGAAGAGGGAGCTGTAACTGAGAACCTATAACGGAAAATTTCTGAAGTTGTGGAAGTAGCTTTGAAAAGAGCTGTGAAAGAGGTATAAAAAGAGCTGAAAATGGAGCTTTAAAGAGATGAGCCGAAAAGGATGCTGGAATCTGTAAGAAAAAGAAGCTGTTAAAAAGATGTAAGAGAAGGAAGCTGTAACCGGCGAGCTGTGACTTGGACTGGGGACCTACAACTGGGGTAAATGAAAATGTAGCTGTAACTGATGTGACAGTTACAAGTTCATTTACAGAAAAATTAGCCGAAAAAAGGAACTTGAAAAAGGAACCAATGTTACATACATACAAATTACATTAACTCAGAACATAAATTAATTGGCACAAGTTCGGACAAGCGACAAGGTGATAGTGAACAAGTGAAGTAGGCGATAATACGAATGTGAAATCAAAGTATGGTGTTCAGTTTCAATTTTTAATCATTAACTGAAAATATATGTTTGCATACCATTAAATTTCACATATTACTAATAAGCCACGCATAGACATAACATTGGTGTTCTTTTGCTAGATTATCGCACAAAAATACATCATGCTTATTTTTTTTTCAAAAGTTCGATCTGCCTTTTTTATACTGATGCGCGTTGCATACCTAACATAACACGAAGATTTGCGCAGAACAATGAGTTCGATAGAGGGTTGCATCCAAACGATTGATGAATATTATGAAAAAGTCATTTGATTTGCTTTACTAATTATCCATCAATAATAAATGATAATGAATAATTGATGAATTTGATAAGCGATACTTACATCTCACGAAAAATTTGGATTCTTCCGAACAGAAACCTGTTAATAACGGTACTCTAATGAAATCTCCTCGTAAATAGGCTTCATGCATATGAGTTGTTACTACAGAATTGGAGTTTATCTCATTTTCGATAACAGGTACCCATATAACGTTTCTACTTATAATGTTGGCCGTATACACATCATTTTGTACCTACAAACAAATGAAGTTCCTATATATGTTCAATTAGAAATAATTCGCGTAGAAGTAATCCAGCATTTTTATTAGGTTAAGTTAGTATTTCGCGATAAATCTTATCGTCCTGGGTTATGGATAAACACATTCGGTTCATTATAGAAATTCCTGTTTGAAGGTGGTTGACAATGTTTCGTGGTGTATTGTTCGGACTTCCATTGTCTAATATAATATAAATTGATTTGAAAACCCTGAAAAAACAATTGAAAAATTAATAAAATTACCCGAAAATAACCATTTTATTAAACAAAAAACTGAAATTACAAAGAAATAACATACAAGCAACAACCAAACGAATAAAAAATTGAAATATTATTGAAAGCTGAAAAATAAGAATTAAAAATTATTACAAAAAATGAAAAATAAAAGATTTCAAACCAAGTTATATCACGACGTTTCGACGACGATTCGACGACGACATTCACGACGATCGTGGGTACTAACAATCGAAACGTCGAGACATAACTTGGTTTGAAATCTTTTAATTTTTATTTTTCATTTTTTGGTAATTTATCAATTTTTTTTTCAGGTTTTTCAAATCAATTTATATTATATTAGACAATGGAAGTCCGAACTGATAAAATACATAGCAATTTCTGAAACAAACAGTGGATTATTAAAATAAATAGAATTTACTTACGTCTGCGAATAATATATCGGAAGATGAGGCTTTATATAGTAGAGCCTGAAGATTCTTAGAACTGGTGGATTCAAAATTTGGATTCAGAGCTTTTCCTAATTTGAAAGCAAAATGTCTTGCTTTATTTTGCAAACCTATTGGCGTGAGAGATGTACCGCTTTCCATTATGAATCCTCGAATATGTCCTTCAAAACCTACGAATAGAAATTGATAACAATGGGTAAATACATAAAATATACAAAAACATTAATAATAAACAAAGTTCTTAGATTCGTTGCAGAGCCAAACTTGTCATCGAACGCCAAACACTCAGGTCTGTGATTTGAAAAATACACATATGTTGCCGACTTTGAATATAACACCACAATGAACCTTTTTCCTGGAGTACGAAAAATCAGTCACTAGCAGCGCTAGTAGTTCGTTAGGGACAAACACTGCCTAATCCTCATATAATCATATGGTAAAGTACAATTAAAAAAGAATGTTTTTAAAAAAAGAAAATGTTCCTGGAGCAAAACTAAAATTTGCAACTGTAAAGGATAACAATGTTGTAACATTAAAACGTTGGCTTGCATGCCGTGATTTAAAAGTAACTAAAGAAAAAGTGAATTAATAGACAGGTTAGTATACAGACTCTAGTAGAAGAGTAGCGGTAGATTCAAAGTGTGATAAAAGAAATTCAAAATAATTATGAATTTCAGATTTATTTCCTAGTGAAATATGAATCAAATATAGATGGTAATGAAATAAATTCAATTAAATACAAAGAATGAATATGATTTAATAAACGATGGAGGTTATATCTTATCCTAATCAATGGTAATTAACTATGAAAAATTTACTATTAATTTCATGTTTAGAACATACATGTGAATATTTATTAATTTTTTGCACTGTTGAATCCACTCTCCTCGAAGCATGTATCTATTTCTTACATCTTACCTCATTAATATGAGGTTTATTAAATGGTATAAAAAACACGTTTTCTTCCGGATATCGATTATTCGACGTAAAATTCGCAAAACCGCAATGCTTCGTTGGCATTATACTAGCACAAAATAATTTTTTATATCAGATCTTTATTTTTAAATAATAAATCAATATTAAGTAAATAACACTGTTTTACATGTGAATAGTTTATGTTTGTCCCTACTACTAGTGCTGCCTCTCGTGACACGTTCACTGTACTATTCTCAGGAAAAAGACTCATTACAGAAAGTAGTGTAAGGTGTACCTGCCAAGGAAAGAATTCCACGTAAGAATCCAAAAACACAAGCTCGTAAGGAGAAAACTTTTGACCCAAAAAACTCTGTTTACACTACGCTTTGAGAAAGGAATCACATCGGTCTGAAAAACAGCACACACCCAAATATATGATACCGCTTCTCATCGTTTGTTCACTCATAATTTTGCAAAGTGCATGTTTCATGTCTTCTAAACGAGTTCGGCTTCCAGAAGCAAAGCAGCAATATATTGATAATCGAAATCTCTATGCAATGAGGTATCATTCGACTCCGATTTCTATAAAAAAGAGGTTCGAAAGTATAACTTTCTGTCAAGTTCTGTCAAGTTGTGAATATAAGATGAACCTTGAATGTGACTACTATTATTAACAGAATTCCGATTTTATATATGAAGCATTTTTGACATTTTCATTTTTCTGATAATCAGATTCAGGAGCCCTAACCTTAGTATTTTAGAAATCAAAGTGATGGGTATTTTCATGCGGACTCTCCGGACCTAGATCGTATGATATGGAAGTGAATTTTCATCATTTGCATATTACAGCTGGTAAAAACGTTTTTGTTTTTTTATAGTAGAAAACTCGAATTGCTCGGTATTTTAGGCTCATCACGACATTTTTTACAACAAATTGGTGCATTCGATTCGACGTTTATATAGCGTTGTTCCCAAATAATCATTTTAATCCAATCAGTCTCAATTTCTTCGTGTTCATTGTACTTGAGAGTAAGATCCCGAAAATTCACGTAATTATTATTTCCTTCCTCAATTGTGAATTGCAAAGAAGGATGGAATAAGTTGGAAGCACGAATATACAAAATACAATCGTCGGCAAATCGTTTGTAAAAGTGAGGTAGCAATCAAGAGTGAAAATCACTTGAACCTCCAGTTCCATCATCACAAAGTTTGCAATGGTTGATGAGATAGAGGATTCCATGGCTGAACCAAAAACTTGGGTATAATAGAAATTAGTCATAAAATATGTGGAATTTAAGCAACATCTCACACCTTTATGAAATTCTAACATTGGTTTTTCAGCAAGTTTGGTGATACTCATGTCAAATTTTCCACCCGATAGAAAACAGTATGTAGAGTATGAAATCTTCAATCTGCTTTATATTATATAGTCCCAGTTCTGGAGGGCCCCAAGGCTCGAATTTAGGACCTCTCTTGTTCTTTATTTTCATTAATAATTCAACTAAAATATTGAATAATTGAAAACTGCTCTACGTCGATGACTTTAAAATATTCAAAGTTATGGACTGCTCAGACTTGCAGTATGAATCAGATCTGATATATGATTGGTGTGCCAATAATCGTTCGAATCTTAACATTTCCAAATGACATGTATTGTCTTTTTTCAAACAGAAAAGTATAACACAATTAACTCATGAAATTGATAACAATATCATAAGTCGATTTAATGAAATGAAAGAGCTTAGCATTGATTTTGATCAAAAATTCACTTTTGCTTCACATATAGACAGACTAAGTTGTTTCGTCCGATAGTCGAATGTTAGGCTTCATAATGAGGAACACTAGAGAATCCAGAGTTATAAAAGATGATTATATCTTATGCTTATATTCTATGCTTATATAAGATCCAAACTGGAATATGGGGCGATGATCCGGTATGTCATTTATAATTCTCATGTAGAGCACATTGAAGCTGTCCAAAAAAAGTTCTTGAAATTATTATCTTTTTGCACTGCAGGTACTTACCCCCAAAGGGGAATGGACTATTAGATCAAATGTGAATCTCAGAGCACCAGTAAATATAACCTGTTATAATTTCAATTTAGTATGTAACATGTGTGATATTGATGGAAGCTATTTGAACTTTATCAATGATTATATCTTACATAGAACCTTTCATTTATAGTTTTTTATATAATTTTCAATTGTTTTATGCCAACATTGTGAAGGCTAAACCATTTATAATATGTCAATTGAATCTAATTATGTTATTTCATTTATATTATTCATATCATTTGTAATATGTCAATTGAATCTAATTATGTTATTTTTTCAGGTATACACCTGTAGGAAATGAAGTACTATCTATATATCTATCTATTTCTGATAATCGTTTTTGAATAGGGTTTGGAGCAGATTCGGTGGGAATATTGACAAATGAAAATTATTATGATATGAATCTTCAACCGAGTATTCACTTCCGCCTAAAATTTCATTCAAGGAGTTTGACAGGACCATTGTTATGTATTTCAGGTAAATTGTATGTTGGAGATGACTAATGTTCAGATGACGGAAAACTTTGGATCGGTTAAATGTGAACAGTAAGAGTTAGGCATCGATGGAGTGCAGAAGAATTGTTTATTACTCTTTTTTTGTGAGATAAGAATAAATATTGTATTTTGGGATTTCGTGTTTATCTTGTAGGAAATTGTAGAAAATATCATATTGTGTGTTTCAATTGTGAACGTCAAGGACATGTAGCTCACAAATCTCATTGGCGTGGCGTGGCGTGAACTCATAAGATATTTTTTTTGCAAATTGCGAAGATTAACAACATTGAAGTACAATGTCTAATTGATACAGGTAGTTCTACCACATCAATAAAAATGTCAACAACTGCATCCTCGTCTGTACCAAATCCTTTGACTGCTTCAAATTTTTGGTCTCTTCTTCATCGAAGTTTTCGTAGAGATAAACTGTTGGCTGTAAATATTTTGTCAACAAAATATTTTTCATCAAAGAGATAAAATTACTCACAGCCATTTTTTCTTCGGATATTCAATTTATACGTTCACTCCGCTGTAACAACTACAACCAACTACTCACCGAATCAACAAAATACTATCGTTAAACAAAGTAATCTTTTTCGAATTTATCATTTTTTTTTTCAAATTTATCAAGAAGAGAATTATTGAGACGTTGTTTCAACGCGGCCCCACGTTGGGGGCCAAAATGACACCACACAAACCACAAGAGGAGACTAAATCATCTATCGGTAACAAATAAGACAGATGGGTATCCGCGGCTAAGCTAAATAGTGGAGACGGGAGTGGGTTAACCAAATTAGCAAATTTCAAATAGAACTTAATGGGCGCCAGGTAAATTCAATCCTCCAGATACCCTAAGTAACTTACAATATCAATAACTTACCAATTGATATTAGAAATGAACGGAACAACCGACAACGCTTCTGAGACAACAATGCGATATTCACACTACTACGCGATGTTCAAATGTCAATACAAGAGCGCGGTGTATATAAATTCAATCAGCCTTGAATGCTAGTAATGGTAGGTAAGACAATCTCGTTTGCGTCGTGTGAGCTCAGGCGTAGGCGCATCGGTGTCAACAAACAATTGTAAAAGGAAGACAACACCTCAATTTGCGTTTTCCAAATGAAACCAAACACGTTGCCAACTAGTGGTGAATTCAGCCAGAAAGGCAATCACTATATCGAACAGGTAACAATAAACAAAGGGCAAACAATTATTTGTTTGTCAATCCAGATGAGCATTATGAGTTTTTACGAATGCCTTTTGGGCTCACCAATGCCCCATCGCTATTTCAATTTCTAATTAATACCGTTTCGGGAGATCTCAGAAATAACATTGCTTTCCCGTGCATTCATGACACTATTGTCCCATCTATCTCGGTTAACCAAGGGCTTTAACATTTACACACGGTCCTGTCAAAATTAAGAGAACAACCTCACAATGAAGTTGAGTAAATGTGTCTTTTCTGAGACAACTATAGAATATTCAGGAAAGGAAATCAGCGAACTAGGCCAGAGACCAGGAAAATCTAAAATAGATACAATTTCAAAAATATTGAGCAAGTGAGAAAATTCATCGGTTTGGGAAGCTACTTTCGAAAGTTTTTGAAGAAATTTTCCAATTCATTGAACAAACTACCAGGCTAACCGAAAAAGGTATGAAATTTGAATGGAGTGAACCCCAACTAAATGCTTTCAATGAAA